CTCGTGTTTCAAGTAGATTTAGGGAAGGCGACTTTTTTTATTTTTGTGTGCTGGATCAATTAGCTTGTGCAAATATGTATTATCTAATACGACCAATTTTGGTATACTAGTTAATAACGTATTGAGCCTACTTCGAATTCTATGAAAGTCCATATAAGAGTTTCTACGAGCAACCAAACATAGATAAATTGTATTGGACAATACTAGATACTTGCATACTACGATCACTCCACTAGCTCATCAAGCGTAGAACAGGACACCGCCTGAGGGTGATTGATAACCCCCGTACTTTTGGCACCGAGCACCCTCAATGATTCCTGGGCAACACGAGAAAAATTGCCGTTGGATACATCTTCTGATCTTCTCTATATAGATAGATTTTATAGGATCAGGAATTTTGATAAAAGGTACAAGAAAAACTTAAGAAATTAAATGTCAATTATATGGTTCCCTTCAAAATTCTATATTCTTATGAAATCCTTTTAATCTTAGCAAGTCTGTTTGCTCTAGCCAAACGATGTTGGCATCAAAACCTCGAAAATAGAAGGAAAAGAAAACATGGACGCTCCACTTGTTGGAAGGCAAGAGGGTCAGTGGAAAGTGCAAAAGGTTCACTCTACATGTGATAGATCGCACTGGAGCACTTTATAGTGCTAGCTGTGATGTTGTAACAGCGCAGTGAGCAGTGGCAACACACTGGCATGGTCTATTGTAACCTGATTTCCAAGTCATCAGCACATCTGGAGCCCAGAAATCAGTGTTTGCTAACAGTAAATTGACCATGAATCGCTGTGCAGGCCCCATCCAGGAATGAAAAGGACAACAAGTTGTGCTGCACAGTTGATGAATTGTCACTAACCCCCATGTTCCTTGCTCTCTGAGCAACTTCACATGGTTTTGTTATGGCTTTATATGCTTCATCAGTCGTAATAATTCTGGCATATATATCTCTTGAATATAGCAATATAAAAACAAGGGACTCAACTTGCAAGCACCAGAAATACAAGCAACTTGCACTGTCATCTATCTAGAACGAGCCCAACCAACCTCAAAAACTGTTTTGGCTTTGCTACGAATGCTATTATAGAGCATTTGGTATGGACGTATGGTAGCTAAGTATACTTAGTCTGAAATAAGACAATCAACCATGCCATTATGCCCTTCCCGGCCTTTGACGCAGCTTCATATGTCATACACAAAGATTTTTCATAGACGTTTTTCAGTTTTTGACCTTCAAGATGTAACGCTATCACAAATCGCAATCCATCGGCCTTATACAAGTAAAAGAAGCATATAAAAACGAATACACTAGTTTTAGGAAAATAAAGGCATGCGGAATTATTTTGGATTTTCTGTTGAGTACTTCTTTTTTGAAACGAGGGATGTCCCCATTTTCATTAATAGCAACGGAAATACCAGTTTTACAGAGTATTTCAGAAAGGTGAAAGAAGTTTGCAGAAGTTAGCAGAAACTACCCAGAAAAAAATAATATGTATACTACTTGGTCTGAAAATTATGCAACTTTGTATTGTGTGAATTGTTAGATACAAGATTTTCGAGATGTGATGGAACAGATATGATCACAAACGGAAAAAAAAACTTTGATCCAGCAGTGTAAACACACAAAAGAAGTATGCATACAAAATCATGTATGTGCACGAGCCCAATTCATTATGGCACATGGCAATAGAATAACTACTGTGGGTGGCTCTTTAAAGTAACAACGGATACGTGTTGAATGTTAGGGGTTTTTTTTTATGTGTATAAACACATGCATGGTTAGCTGAGCGATGGCAATCAACACTGCTTCAAAGGATAAAAAGGCACGCTTAAAACTTGAAAGCAATGAGCACCACAAGCATCAGGACAAAACCAAGAGTTTTCTGACGATTTCTTGCTGGATTCCACGCACCTACAGCCAGCCATGTACGGTCCAGCTCGAGAAGAATGACAGGTCAGGTCATCCTCTGAAACGGACAATACACTACTATACAACATCTTTTGCGCAGCGTTTCCAAAATAACCTCGGAGGCGAGTGGTCCAGTTGCCCGCCTCGGTTATTCGTGGCAGGGCAGCCGGGCCAGCAATCGTCTCGGTTAATACATTAACCGAGACGGACATTGTAAAATAACCGCCTCGGTTAATACTTATTAACCGAGGCAGGCATTGTAACATAACCGCCTCGGTAAATCATTAACCGAGACGAGCATTGTAACGCAACCACCTCGGTAAATCGGGTCCAGCTCAGGCCCAAACAAAATCCATTATATCGGGCTCATATATAATCAAGGACTTAGGGTTTCTTCTCAATCATTCATCTCCACACAGCCGCAGAGCCACCCCTTCCTCACATTCTCCCTCCCTCCCGACGTCCTCTCCCTTCGACCGAGAGAGCGGTGCGGGCAACGGGGGTCGTGCCTCCCTCCCTCCCGAGCGGTGCGGGCCGTGCCTCCCTCCCTCCCGAGCAGCACGGCCTCCTCCTCCTCCTCCGGCGTGACCGCGCGGCCGCCTCTTCCTCCTTCGACGCCCCGGCATGGCTGCGCGCCCCTCCTCCTCCTCTGCTGCGTGGCTGCGTGGCCCCCTCCTCCTCCAACTGCGGCGGCCTCCTCCGATGGCCTCGAAGACGCGTGGACTCCTTCTCCGACGGATCCAGGGGCGGGGCGTGCGGATCCGGCGAGGAGAGGAGGCGGCGCGTGCGGATCCGACGAGGAGCGAGCTCGGCTCCTTCCCCTCTTCCCCACTGCCCCTTCCTCCACCACCGGTGCATCCAATTGCGGATCCAGTGGCGGCGCGCATCTAGGTGCGTGGCGTGGCGGGTGGCGGCACTCTTCCCCCCACCGGCGACCCTCTCCTCTTCCTCTCCCGGATCCGGCGACCGTGGATGGGCTGCGCGTGGATCCGGCGTCTCCGACCCGCATCTCCGGCGAGGACGCAGCGGATCCGGCGTGGGTGCAGTGGATCCGCCGTCTCCGACCTGCGTCTCCAGCGAGTAGCTAAGTAGCTACAGTAGCGGCGGCGGCGTGGATGGGCTCGGCGGGCTTATCCATGGGTTTTCCTTTTTTTGTTTTTTATTTGATTTACCGAGGCGAGCATCCAACCGCCTCGGAAAACGTCCCATTAACCATGACCTTTCGTCCGAAGTGGTTGCAATGCCCGCCTCGGTAAATCAATTTTGTCCGTCTCGATGAAGATTTGTGTAGCAGTGATAATAAATCAATCAATCAATAATCCCTAGTAGAAGTAGAACAAACAAAAGAATCCGTAACAAGTGATGTAGACAGAACGTGATGAAAAGACCAGGACGATTAGCAAGACAAAGCATTATTTATGGAAGTGATGCCACGACTAACATTGGCACTTTTTTCATATAAAAAATGATGGAGCTTTAAGTTTTGTGCAGTTTTTGGTTTCATGTAGCAGAGCAGAGCACACAACTCCTTGTAATAAGCAGGCTAATATACTACACAAGTTCACCTACAGATGATCTGCAGCACAACCGCATAGAAAAACTGTTAAGAAACAGAAACAAGACAGACTAGGTGATGTCTACTCTTAGAGAGCTACTGAATAGTGCCACCATTCACCAACATATCAGCAACAGTGCTTTTCTCGGGTGTCACCCGTTCGCTTACTAATCTTGGCTGAAACTGGCTAAAAAACACTGTTCTAGCTGAATTATTATGAGAGAAAAACACTGTTCCAGCTGAAAAAACAAGTCGAACAAGTCGGTTTCCGGGTAAGCCGAACGGGGCTTTGTATCATCATATGCGACAAGGCTTTCTCATTCACCAACCAAAACATGTGGATGTCATCCACAGTGCTAAAGTGAGACACAATAATGTCACGAGGGCCCAACGCAGAATGAAAAGGCAAATGCACAAAATCAAAGCCGTGATTAGAAGACGAATGAACATGACAGACTGAATAATCAGCAAGCAAGGGACACAGGCGTTGCAGTTGTCTAGGAAGTAGAAATGGCAGCGAGAGGGACTGAATATGTGAACGTAGCACTTTGTACTGGTCCTGACAACAGTTGTCTAGAGATTTATACATTTCTTTCGAACCAAGTGTCCAAAAAAATATAAATAAAATGTACTGAATAAAACGTGTAGTCAGATTACCAGGACTCATACGTGTTGCAATTTTGCAAGCAGCAAACAAATACTGAGTGTTACCAGAAAATGGGCCTTTGCCATACAAGAAAGGAAAGAAAGTAGCCCATTCATCTGTATGCAAAAAGCCCAACACAGCCTACTCAATACACAAAAATGAGATCTAAGCCATAATCCGGTATATATGAATATATGATACATCTCAGAAGGGGAAGGTTAGATGCACTACAGCTTGGAAAACCATCATCGATTTGTATAGAAATTGTCTGAGACAACAATTACACCTGCAAACATGTTACTCTGAGCAACTCAGCACGAGATGTCAGTTGATATCACAGTTCTACAGCAGGCTGGGTTCAGCTTTCATCGAGTTGCATAGTTTCAGAGTTTTCAAAGCAACTTCACTGGAGTTCCTTTCATCTTTTTTTTCTTCCCCCTATGTGGCACTGCTTTAAAAAATAAATCTAATGAACCATGACACGGTCAGCTAATGTACTTCACGCTTCAGCATCCACATCTATAACCAGTAACTGAACTACCTGTAACCCCGCATGAACATTTCAAAATATAGAGCTAATATGGATAGATAACAAAACAGCTTCGCATCAAAGATTAGGGAATCAGAAACACAACAAATAAAGTTCATTGTTGTGTTAAGTCTTTCTTACATGATCCCAGCCTCACATGAATAGCTCTACAGAACGCTTGAGTTCACTAAAATCATCGCTGAGCTGCTGAGCAGACAATACAACACTCAGTTACACATTCCAGGAGCATCACATTCTCCACTGCAGCAATCTTTTGTTGCTTGGGAAGCTACATAGCTTACTTGCCATTAGTCAGTCCACATGACAGCCAAAGTAGATAAGAGAGTAACCAGGTAGCTCATCAATCTTCTTCCTTTTGGACCCAAACTTTCACTGTCTTGTCATTATCAAGCGCCCCTGATGCAATCATGTTTACCCTGGGGTGGCATGAAACTGCAATGACAGTATCAGTATGCCCTTCCAGTTTCTGCACTATTCTTCTTGACTGCAGGTCCCACAGGTAGACGCATTTGTCCTCAGAGCCACTGACAATATACTTGCCATTTGTGATGGAAAATGCCGCTGGGATGCAGTACTTTGTGTTAACATGGCCTGTATATGTCTTCAGAAACTTTCCAGCTGAGAAATTCCAAAGCCTCTGCATAAATAATAAACAAAACATGAGCAGATGCCTTCTCGTTACTCCTACTATATACTTTTCCATATAAAACTGGTTGGTATTTATTTCTAACAGATAATCATATATAGTTGTGGGTGCATTCACATCTATGAGCATACTTACAGTACATAAAATGGAACAAAAAGCTCAATTGATAGATGAGTAAATGAATTGAAAATGAGCTGAAGTGAGATCTAAATATCCAATATGATTCTAAATACACATGGAATAGTCTAAAAGACAAGACAGTGAAGAACAGACATATAGTTCGTGGGATAAAAGACAATAGCGTAAACTGATAAAATACTGCAATACTCCAAGTAAATGGAACAAATAAAAACAAAATTGTAGTGTCCATCAACCTTATGAAATCCATTTGCCTCTACAGGAAATGATTGGTCAGGCTAGGGTCCTGAGGATAGTGAAATGGGATCGAAGTCTCTTTTCTTTTCTTTTTTTTGGTAATGGAAACAGTAATGGATACCCCTATTGTTGGGGATGAGGTCTTCACTGCACCTTATATTTATATAAGTACCATATAGAGGATATAATCACAGCAACGTCTGTCATAAATTGCGTCTAAATGCAGTCTCACAACAATGTTAAAAGGCGATAATTCAGGTCCTTGCTTCCCATCCTTTTTGGTGTCCTAACTCCTAGCTCCTAAGCCATGTGAGAATCACTACCTACATGGATAGTAACCAATTCTATGCATAGTTCAAGTGCTGCTTCTAAATGGAGGATGTAAGATCCCTTACTTTTATGGCCTGTTAAAAACTACATGATCAAGATTAGTTTTGTTTCAAGCCTTGCCTTGAATCATATCTATGCCTAGTTCATGTGCTGCTTCTAAATGGAGGATGTAAGATCCCTTACTTTTATGGCCTGTTAAAAACTACATGATTCTTGATATCACTTCACAGTTCACAATGCCACGTGAGAATCACTACAAGACGTGGATAGTAATCAATTCTATGCCTAGTTCATGTGCTGCTTCTAAATGGAGGATGTAAGATCCCTTACTTTTATGGCCTGTTAAAAACTACATGATCAAGATTATTTATGGCCTGTTAAAAACAATATGTTTAATTGCTGCATTTGGCAACAGCATCTTAGGTTTCGTGCATGGTCATTAATAAGGGGAGGCAAACATATATCAGGCCAGACAAAGGACAGAAGGAATATACATTATAACCAACAGTCAGGCAGAGGCCCATTAGCCAACTAAAGCCCAATCCCAAGCCTCAAATCCCAGAAGAGCCTCCCACCCCTCCTTCACTAGTAGCAGCCAACCTGTGCCTTCCCAACGCTCCCATACACAGCAGCAACCTACTCTAACACTCCATGCCACCTCCAGTGGTCGGACAGGAACAACAGAAGACACTGGAAACAGGATGGAAATGGGTTCGGAAGGGGAGAATAAAACCAGAAAAGGGTAAACAACTGTGGTAACAAGACAGAGAAGAGTGTGCGGCTATGGGTTCGAGTAGGGGAAGGAAGGGTGGGTGATGTCAGGATCGAGCCAGAAAAAACATGCACTTAAGCAGAGGGCGACGCCTTGGCGCCAAATCGACACCCCAAAAACTAGAGCTTCATGCATAATCAAGTCATATTTGGACTAATGGCAATGTTTTCAAGTCGTCCGATTAATCGCGATTAATCACGATTAATCGTCCTAATCGGTCCCTGCTGACTGATTAGGGGTACCGTCGACTTGTACAAGTCGTCCGATTAATAGCGATTAATCGTGATTAATCGTCCTAGTCGGTCCCATGGTGACTAGGTTCGACTGGACGACTTGAAAACATTGACTAATGGTAAGATACTAATGTGGGATCACAATGTTTTTAAGAACGCACAAGGAAGATACAGTAAGAATCAGTTTCTGGAAGAACATAATTTGACTTGATATATTGATACGTTTCAAATCATGGCATGCTCAATAAAGAGATCATCAACATGACTAAACACTTACCAATTGTTGTTGATTATAAAAGACAAAAGTCACATGAACATGTGCAGTTGTAAACATTACACATTCAATCCTATCATTTTTGCAATCCCAAAAAAAATGTTTACATATACTATTGTGGACCTAAAGCCCAGCCCAGGCTGGTGCCTGAGGGAGGAGGCATGCAGGCGGCCCACCACACCCGCCATGCCCACCATTGTCCACCTGTTGGCTGGCTCACCAACTTGGTCAGCACATTATCTTTAATAAGAATCTCGGTAGGTAAAGTAAGAAGTAAACTATTAAACCCTATCTCCCTCCCCCCCTCCTGCGTCAAATGCCCCACTCCCTGCTGACGCCCTAGCTGCCAGCAGACTCGCCCTAGCTGCCAGCAGACTCATCCTCCCCAACAAACCAGGTCAATAAAATCATTCGTAGAGCACGCAGCCAAAATAATTACAATATTGATTGATGGTCCAATATTGCCACCTTTGTAAAGTTGAAACTGTTAGATTTGGTAGTTAGGATTGTAATCCGATATTGCCATAAATATATCTAGGGGAGCCAACTTGCCTCTCAAGTCTCTGTACTCTATGCATTATATTCCATTCAAGAGGCTCAATGCAATCTATCCCATACATTATACCCAATCTACTACGCTTTCATGGTATCACAAGTTTAGAGTTTTGATCCTAGGCCAAGGCTTCCACTGCCTCTGCCGCACCGCACCTGGGGAGATCGATCTACGCCAGGGGCAGCGCCTTGGTAGAAAGGTTTTGGCTTTGGATCTAATTGATTCGCTGCCCTAGCGTTGTCTTGCGACAACAGATCAGAACCTACCTCTTCTCATGGGTCCATCTGCTCCATGGCCATGCTCCTTTAGACAAGGTGTGCCACCGGCAGGAGGATCACACTACCACGTGCGAGGCAGATATTACCACCCAGTCCCTTGCCATGGGGCTGCCAAGCTGCCCAACCTCGTCACCGGCACCACCTCGAGCCTTTGCCCTTCACCACCCTCCACCTCTCCCCGATCTGCGCTAGGCCGTCGTGCCGCCCCACTGTGGGGGTGCCGCGCCGTGTAAAGATGGCAATGGGGACCCGATCCCCGATTCCCCACGGGGAATTCTTCCATTAGGGGACGGGGATGAAGGAGAATTGATCTCCACGGGGATACATTAGGTAGGAAAAACGTCCCCATCGGGGATGGCGGGGACGGGGATGGTTGGCTGGTCCCCGACCCCGATCCCCGCCGACCCGCCCTGTGAAGCAAGCACCAGTCAACCAGGGCGCCAGGCCCATGTAAAGGCCCAACAAGTCACGGAATATATAAAGCACCATTCCAACCCTAATTCCTCAATCCCTATCCGGTCACCCCCGTCCTCCAGCCGTCGCGCCGCACGCGGTCTCGCTCGGCATCTCTCACTCTCGCTCTCTCACGCTCGCGGTAGTGGAGGCCGCAGCCAGCAGCTCGCCCGTCATCGACTCGTGCCCCTCCGCCCGTGCAGCACTCCCGGCCCCGGCGGCGTGGCCAAACCATCGCCAGCTGCGGAGCTGCCACGGCCCCTGCGCAGGAAACCTGCCACTCGGTACGGCGGTACCTCCATCTGCAAGAAAGATGGTTGTTGGCTTGTTGCCGTGTTGCATTGCGTCTCCTTTTTCTCATCTTGCTAGTGGACAGCAGAGGTGTGTTGCATTTGTATCGTGCCTTTTTACATTTACTTTCTCATCCTGACCCAAGCACTTGTGTATTTGTGAGATTTTCTTATTGATTTGTTTGCGATTTTGGCAGCAAAGAAGCTGTGAGTTGTAAAATGAAACGATCTCATTTCATATGATTCAAGATGCGTTGGTGGTTAACATTTCTTCTTCTAGATTGTTGATTTGAGTAATTTTTTTCAAGCTTATATCGCGGAGACGGGGACCCCGTCGGGGATGCATTCCCCGCTCGGGTTCGGGGATGGGGAGAGAAGGTCCCCCGCCAGCTTTCACGGGGACGGGGACGGGGACGGGAAAATCTTCCCCCGCGGGGACGGGTGTGCCATGGGCAAAACAAATACATTAAGCACTTCCTTAATAGACACCTACTCGTATTACAAATAAGTCAAGAGAGCAAAATGAACTTTTCAGCACTGCACACCTGGCACTATTTTCCAGCTGGACTAAGTGTAGGGCAAGGCAAGCACACACAAAATAAAATGAAATGCTTCAACCCATTATCTCAGGATGGATGGAGTTTCAAAATATTAGGAGCTACACAATATGCAGATCACCCACATGTACACTACTGCAGAAATTTTATAGTAGATTACTGCAAGCACACAAGAATGCTCGGGCTGTAACAAACTAGTTTGGGGGTCCACTAACTCCTCACGCAAAAAAGACTTTGTTGGACTGCAGACACGATAGTTCAATCACCATATAATGAATTTTTCTGTCTAGACAGAATCATGGGGTTGCCTCAATGAAGCAGCTTGCCCTCCCATAACACCCAATTAAGGTAGGACTACCTCAGAGACACCCCCAGGAGGTTCCCCAAATGTAACACTAACATAACAGAACTTAGACATGGACACAAAGAATCTCTTTAGAACATGCCACATTTAAACTATCCTGCTCCAAACCTCCGGGCTTATACTTCCCCTTCTCCTCAAGTTACCCCGTCCCTCTTGCCACTTGGGGGTCTACAAATATTGGTACCCCAGTTTATGACGCCAACCACTAATGCTGAAGTTCTACAATCATACTACACGTTGGACAATCATATGCTCCCATAAAAACAAAATTGTAATTTCAGTTTTTCACATATGCAGCAAGGTGGAACAATATGGGCATATGGCAACACTAAAATGCAAAAAAATAAGGGCAATCGACTTCGGACAACTAACCAAGGTGCTGTCAAGCGTTGCCGCAAGGATGAACTTGCCGTTGGGGGAGAACTTGGCAAAGGACACCGGTGGGCTCTCGTCGTCGATGAGGGTTTTGACGCAGTGACCGGTAGCCGAGTCCCAGACGCGGCAGAGCCCGTCGTAGCTCCCCGACACGATCATGTCGCCCTCGCGATCAAAGTCCACGGCGGTGACGGGCTCGGAATGGGCCGGCAGCACGCGGAGGCACTTCCCGGACCTAACCTCCCACACGCGCACCGTCTCGTCGAAGGACCCCGAGGCGAGGACGTTGCCATGGGGGCTGAAGGAGACGCAAAAGGCGTAGTTGGTGTGGCCCGTGAGCGTCTTGATAAGGCGGGCCCCGCCGCCGACGGCGAGGTCCCAGATGCGGACGGTGCGGTCATCGGAAGCGGAGGCGAGGAGGCGGCCGTCGGGGGAGAAGGAGAGGTCGGAGACGCCCTCTCCATGGCCTGCGAGCTCCGCAACGGGGGTGAGATCGGAGGAAGACCACACGCGAAGAAGCTTGTCGGCGGAGGCGGAGGCGAGAAGGCGGCCATCCGGGGAGAACTTGACGGTTGAGACGGCGCGGCGATGCCCCTCAAGTGTGGAGCGCAGGACGTAGCCTGGGGATGCCGAGGCATCGTCGGCCGCCGGCGCCGCCATTGCCGCCGATCGGAAGGGTTTGGGGGTTTTGGAGGAGTTTCTCCGCGAGACGGTGGTGCGGCAAGGTGGACCGGTGCGTGAATGATTTCCGTTTTCGGAGTTTTAACGGAGGGGTGGAAGATAATGGGCTCTTCAGTTATTGGGCCCATTACGTCTGAGGTGACTCGATAATGTCTGGGCTTACAAAATGAATTGAATCTAAAAGCTCTTGGACTTTACTAGAGCGTGCATGTGCAGAAAATCTAATTTCCGGCTGCACACTCCAATTTAGAAAAGAAAATATTGTAGTTGACAGAAAATGGAAAAAAAAACTAGATCTAGGGTTCGCCGACTTCGACGCCCTTGCCCCCGCCGCAGGCCATCGCCCCACTGGGCGCTAGGATTCGCTAGAGCTCCGGCGAGCTAGGGCTGCGGCGGCCACCCTCTTCCCCTCCCTCCCACAGCCGCCATCTTCTCTAGCTCCGGTGAGCTCGCCCGCCGCCATCTTCTCCAGCGCCAGCGAGCGTCTCCCGTCCCGACTTGGCCCAACCGCCGCCAGCTCCACTAAGCCGCCCATCGACCATCGACCATTCAGTGGAGACAGATATTTTTTTCACCTACAAGGGGCTTGCGACAAGGTGATCCGTTGTCACCATACTTGTTTCTGATTGTTGCGGAGGGCTTGTCTTGCATGCTTAGAGGAGCAGAGGAAAGAGGAGAGCTGGAGGGAATAAAAGCGTGTAGGGAGGCCCCTATAATATCACATCTTCTTTTTGCAGATGACTCTTATTTTGATGCATGCGGATAAGAAGAATGCTGATGTTTTAGCCGACATCCTAAATAGGTATTATGTTAGCTCGGGGCAGAAGCTAAGTGAGGCAAAGTCGAGTATTTTTTTTCTCGGCAAATACTGATGTTGATGTGAAGGTGGAGGTTTGTGAAGCACTGAATATTATGACGGAGCCACTGAATGACAAATATTTAGGACTACCTGCAATGGTGGGGGCAGACCGAAGTGACTGCTTCCGTCATTTGATAAACAGAGTGATGACCAGGATAAATGGGTGGAAAGGAAATTCTGATTAAGTCCATTGCTCAAGCCGTGCCAGTCTATGTGATGATGGTATTCAAAATTCCTAAAAACATTTGCAACGGAATAACAAGTACTATCTCGCAATTTTGGTGGGGTGATGACGATGAACATAGAAGAATACATTGCAAGAATGGTGGAAGCTATGTATGACAAAAGGTAAAGGAGGAATGGGATTTAGGGACCTACAATCTTTTAATCTGGCTATGCTAGCAAAACAGGTCAAGAGATTGCTGATCAATCCGGACTCTCTTTGTGCTAGGGTGTTGAGGGCCGGATATTATCCTAATGGAGATTTATTGAAGGCAAAGATGAAGAGTGGGTATTTGTCGGTGTTTCGAGTAAACATCAACAAGTAAATTTCTAATATTACGCGTCTGGCTCGGATGGTGTGCTAAGAGGACACGAGGTTTATACTAGTTCGGGCAGAATGTCTCTACGTCCAGTTCGTTGCTGCTGCTCGTGTTACTAGCACTGAAAGTTTGCAGTAGGGGTTACAAACGGACGAGAGAGCGATAGGTCCCAAATCTTTTGATGGAAAGAATAAATGGATGCCAAGAGCTCGGTTGCTGCTCGGCTATACGTTCGGGGTTCGATGCTAGTGGTTCTGATCTGATGCGGGGCGATGAGTTACGATCTCGTGTGATGCCCCTTAATGGGACTCCCTGCTTTCCCCTTTATAGGCCAAGGGAAAGCACATATTACAATAGGAGAAAAAGAGGAGAACGAGAGGGAGAGGAAACCTTTCAGGGTCGTTGAGCCTTTCTTTTCCTTTCTGCGGGCCCCGCTAACACGATAGGTGGTGATAGGGACACTCCACGCCAGGCGCCTGTCCGCCGATGATGCCATGCCCTAGCGTTGTCAGCGGGTCATGATGTCCCACTCCGCCCTAGCGGGCGGCGCGGTGAACCAGCATGCTGATCAGCGGCCGTCAGATAGGAGTAGGCAGCATAGTAACCACACGTCCATCACTGTGGGCGATGTGAGTCCCCTGGAATGACATGTCGCAGGGATGGGTCATGTTGAGACGTGACCGCTCCCTACATGATGCTAGAAGTTTGACCTTGGGTTGTACTTTCTGGCCTGTAGTGGTTGGCGGCGGCGTGAGCTTTCGTTAGGCGCTGTGCCTCGAGGGATCGGGCGAGGCAGAGTCCACCCTCAGACGTTGGGCGAGGCGGAGCCCATCCTCTAGACATTAGGCGAGGTGGAGCCAACCCTCAGTCATCGGGCGAGGCAGAGCCAACCCTCAGACGTCGGGCGAGACAGAGCTCGTGGCCTCAGTGTTGGGCGAGACGGAGCCCGTCCCTAGAGGTTGAGCGAGGCGGATCGCACGACCTTGAGGTTAGGCGAGGCGGAGCCCGCCCTTAGAGGTCGAATGAAGCGGAGCTCGCCCCCAGAGGTCGAGCGAGGCGGATCACACGACCTTGGGGTTGGGCAAGGCAGAGCCCGTGGCCAGAGGTCGGGAGAGGTAGAGCCCACGGCCTCGGTGTCGGTTGGAGCTATAGTCGCACCTTTGACTGTCTGGATGGATTAATGTATAACGACCATTAGCCCCTCCTCTTCGGGTACCCTAGTATTTGTCCCCGATAGTAGCCCCCGAGCCTTTGGAGGAGTAGAATACTCCTTTGGAGGCTTTTTCTAACGGGAGGACCCTAAGGGCTTTGGCCTTCTTCTATAGCCCATGACGTAACCTGGGAATGGTGGTTCCCTTTTGTCGAGACTAGACCCTTCGCGGGTATGGCCATGAGATTTGGTGGTTTGGAAAAGGTCTTTCCTAATTGGGGCCCCGGTATCCCGTTCGTGGGGATCCGGCTAGGGTTGGCTGGTGATCGACTCTAGATTCTCAGCGGTCAATCCATATAGTTCTCGGGTCTGTTTGATCCGGTCCTGAGGGCTCTCTGCCTTCCTTAGGGAAAAAACTATGGATCGTATCTCGGCCAAGACTCGAATGTGGGCCAGGATGCCCACAGCGCTTGTGCGCCTGGGCGCTGGTCGCTAGAGGACCCACTCCTTTCTACTTCCTTACCTCGAAGGTGCCCAAAGCGGTTGTTGAACCCATCGATGGGCCAACCTTGGAGCTCCTAGGCCCAGACGGGTCATAGAGGTGTTTTTAGATCGATATTCCTCGCACTTGTGACTAGTTGTGACCCGTCCGGAGAGGCGAAACGTCTGGCGAGTTTTTCGAGGGAACGGATAAAGATTGCGCGCGCATATCCCGCAGCGTGACGTTGTGGCAGATCGTGGCAGGCACGGAGATCTAGGCGGGCGGTTGGTTTTCTCGCGCCCATCGCCCCTATAAAACCAAAGGGTTCACCCCCAGGTTTCATACCTTGCCTTCTTGCCTTCGCATCTACAACTGCCGCTGCCAATCGCCTAGGCTTCCTGCATCCGCGCCTCCACCCGTTGTCGAGCTCGCATCCACCGCCCCCATCTTCTAATGGATCCATGGTGACACTCTGACATCACCTTCCAGCGCATGGAAGGCCTCATCCATCGTGACCTTCTCCGCTGCGTGGACCTCAACCAAGGAGTGGCTGTTGCCCGACGAGGAGGATCTACCATCGCCACCCAATGGCTACGTGGTGTCATTCGCGTACTTCCATGAGTGCGGGTTCGCTACCCTCGCCCATAGATTTCTTCGGGGGCTGCTGCATTACTACAAGATCGAGTTGCAGCACCTCAATCCCAATGGTATCCAGCACATGGAGGCATTCATCACCCTGTGCGAGGGATTCCTAGGGATCAGCCCCCAATTCGATCTCTGGAGTACTTCTTTGTCATCACCCTCCAGAAGAAGAGGGAGAAAAGCGGTAGGCATGAACTGCACATGCCGATGGGGTGCGCCAGCATCCAGCTCTAGAACAATTGGGTCGGCGAGTACCCACCAATGCGGCTGTCGGCATCCAACAAGGGGTGGCACTCGCAGTGGTTCTACCTCAAGAATGACGCCGCCGTCGCCCTGCTGGAGTTCACCGAGCGCCTGATCGAGGAGGCCCCGGAGTCATGGAGGAAGTGGGGCGTCCTAGAGAAGGACAAGAAGAAGATTTAGGATCACATCACAGCCATCCACATCCTGAAGGAGAGTGGCCTAAAGGGGTCAGGCGTCATCGGGGCCTACCATGCAAGGAGGGTGGCGCCATTGATGACATGCACGCTCCCGCTGTATGAGATAGCACCTGAGGCATCGTTCGATGGAACGACGCTTGCCGAGGGAGCGCTCTTATTTACACCAGAATTTAGAAGAAGAGTTGCAGGGATTTGGAAGCTCCCAAAATCATGTCATCAAGGAATCAGCTGCGTGGAGATCAGAGCTAGTTGATTCGGACGCACTAGAATTGGCTTTCTTTAGATAGCGCTAGCAGATAACGACAGAGGCTACGATCGGCGCTGGGACGAGACATGCTAGACTCTACAAAAAAGGAAAGATTAGAGTCCAAGTTATCTTAAATTAGGAATGTTTTCATTATGCCAAAGATTGTATTGAGTCATACTCGAGTAAGGTTTGGTTTTAGGCTCCGGGTATAAATACCAAACCCCGACTATTATAAAAGACACAATCAATCAAATACAAGTCAATTACTTTTTTTGGCTCTGGCCACCCCTTAGGAGTAGTAGAGTAGATCTCGGTGAGTTCTTCAGCGAGTACAGCTGCATCGATCCGGTCGACCTCTACTACTTGTCTATAAGTACCGTCATGATTTATACCTCTATTCATATGGCTGCATCGATCCGGTCGACCCCCACTGCGACTCTGGTATAGGCTAGTTATCAACTCTTGCCTAGTTCAAGTATGGCCTGTGTGATTCTGCCTCACACCCCACTGCTTGAACTAGATCAAGGTCAAGTTATTGGCTCTATCTTAGGATGGCAGTCTTTGGTAGATTCATTAAGTTACCGATATTGCTTATTGCTTTCATCGTTTATCTAATTA